TAGATAGATAGATAGATAGATAGATAGATAGATAGATAGATAGATAGGATTAGAGATATAGATAGATAGGATTAGAGATAGACAGAGATAGATAGATAGATGATAGATAGATAGATAGATAGATAGATAGATAGATAGATAGATTGATTAGAGATAGAGATATATAGATAGGATTAAAGATAGATAAGATTAGAGATATAGATAGATAGGATTAGAGATAGACAGACAGACAGACATAGAGATAGATAGATAGATAAATATAGAGATAGATAGAGATAGATGGATATAGATAGATAGGATTAGACATAGAGATAGAAAGAATTAGAGATAGACAGACAGATAGATAATAAGATAGATAAAGATAGATAGATAGATAGATAGATAGATTGATTGATAGATAGATAGAGATATAGATAGATAGATAGATAAATAGATAGATAGATAGATAGATAGATAGATAGGATTAGAGATAGAGAGATAGAGATTAGAGATAGAGAGACAGACAGACAGAAAAATAGATAGATAGGAGAGAGAGAAAGAGGGAGGGAGGGAGAGAGAGCGAGAGATTGGGGAATATATGTATATGTACATGTATATACTGGAAAAACAAAACAATCACATCATATTTGCATGACACAGCATAGGGAAACAAACCCACCAGGACAAGATTCAACAGTCGCTCCATCTGCATTTAAAACACAAAGGTTACTCTTTTGAAGATAGCAAAGTCCACATTCTGGACAGAGACGATCCCTGGTTTGTAAGAAGGGTAAAAGAGGCCATCTGTGTCAAAACTGAACAGCTGTCTCCCAACAAAGGGGGAAGGATAGAACACCCCCTATCTCCTGTTTACAACAGTCCTTTCGGCAGTTCCAAGAAGGCCCCGCACCCAGTTGCACTCTGATTCAGGTGACCCTGAGGGCACAGATGAACCCCCCAAACGGCCTCACTGGCTCTCAGAATTTGATCGCGTGAGGATGCTGCAATGGTCTTAAGTATGAAAAACAGTCATAACTCATTTTTTTCCGTGCGGTTGTAACTTCGAATGGTCACAAAACAAACTGTTGTAAGTCAAAGATTACCTGTAAACCCCTCCACCACCACCCCGCCTCCGAAGCATTCCATGAGAACTGAGGAAGCCTCTTGGATGAGGAGCGAAACCTCTTCAAGGGGAAACAAAACAAAAAAGTCCAGTTGCCCTCTTGATAAAGCCCCTTTGAGATTCCCATAGAAAGCAATCTTCTCTCTTCCTCCTTCTCCTCCTGCAAAACCTTTTAGGCGGAAATGCTGGTTTGGCTGCAGCCTATGCAGCCAGGGAACTGAGGATGCCCGCGACAATCGTTGTGCCCCGCGGGACCACAGAGTCAATGATAAAAAGGCTCGAGCAGTACGGAGCGAATGTGGAAATTTTTGGGAAGGTAAAAATAAGGAAATTAAAATACTCCAGAATTAAGGAACAGTTTCAGCTCCCTTGGCTAAGAAACGGAGATGAGCACCACGCCCTTGAGTTGGACATGACTGACAGGGAAACCTTTACCTTTTTAAAGTAAAGTAGATTTAGCTTATCTGGTCATGTTTCCTGTCTGGTCCTTGCAGTACGGCTTGACGTTGGGATGTATTTTTCTGCCACAACAAGGAGTAGTATTCAGCCAGTAGATGGCAGTGTTTACAAGTTTGAATCTATACTCTATTGTCCTAAGTACAGTTTCCTCTTTCTTGTTACAGTTAAAACAGTTAAGCAGTAAAGCACATGGTGACTGTACACTTTGTTTGATCTGTGGT